TTTATTCGCATTAGATAAAAATCTATATTTAATGAAAAAATGTAATTAAAATAAAAAAAATCTATGTTGAATAAAAAAAGTAAATCAATAAAAAAGATTATTTTAATAAAAAATTTATACACAATAAAAAAATCTAATGAAAATAAAAATATTATATTGAATAAAAAAAATTTAATAGAATAAAAAAATCTTAATTGAAATAAAAAACTCTTAATATTTCAATAAAGTCTATTTGAATAAATAGTTGAACATTTTATTAATTGTTTTCTTTTTATTATTTTTATTAACATTATGTATTAATCACTAGCAACTAAAAAATAATGTGTAATAATGATTAATAAAAATTATAGCAAATAATTCTTATGGTTGGCAGTTTGGCACGTCAACGAGGAAGTTGCATGGAAGTTACGATCGTACAGATTTGGGGGATATCCGAGCAAATTCGTGCTAAATGAGCCTTAAATGATGGAGTAGTATAAGTCGACTGTACAAAAAGTTTGGTGCTGGTGTAACGTTACATTAGCACCACAGCGGATAATTGATTTTTTTTGCATTTGGAGAGGTGTACAAATGTTTATATCAGGATAACAAATGTGTACAAATGAAATAACAATCATTGGTATATTTTTCTGGGGGAATTTTGAATATGGTGGTTCTTATGTAACGGAAATTATCTTAACATCTATAATTATATAATTGTATGAATAGTTCCGGAAAAATTTAGAGGTTATAGCTCAAGCATGTCAATCCTTCAGAATGTATCAATACATTTTATGAATTATGGCCGTTATTCATAATAACTCTTGAAAATGTATATAATACTCGATCGTTGTTGAAATAAAGTAGATAGGTTGCTACCACTTATCATCGAAAAAATGTATATAATGAAAGTGTTTGTTCTTCATGGATTTTTCACTTTGATTCAACCACACACCCGTTTTATGCCTAACTTGCCTATGGTAAATGAATAATCTTCTTAGTTCATTAGACATATTGCAGGTCATTTTTTATGATCATCATTTATGTGTATAATTTATTGATGACATTTCTATGTAGGTATATATATTATTCTTATTGCAGGGAGAATATCGTTCGGTATTTTAAAAACTATATTCTTGCGATTCAACAAGAAACTATCCATTGCAATTCAATAATTATTTCAATAAAAAGACAGCAATTATCACTGAATTAAAAGGAAATGTAACAACTTTGATACCTTTTGACGATACTCTTACGGTAAGTAGGTACCTACCTATATTATATATTGAATAATTTAATATTTTTATAATATATTGAGACTTCCGTATTACGGAGTCCTATGATTATAAGGTAACGAAAAAAATATTTAAAATAGTAAAATTTTATTTGTCAAATATAATTATTTAAGTTGTTAAGTATATACAATTAAAATCCAAAATATTTTGGTAAATTCACATTATACTATTTGGTATTCACTGCAGTAGGTACTTAGTAAGTAGTTAGATGAATGGCACACAACCTGTGGACATTGTAATACTGGGTCGTCAATAATTAATCAACAAATGAAAAAGTAATATGGTACACCTCCTTATATACGTTTTTAATAGGTACCTACATACAATTATTTTGTGCCATCGGTGATCGATAACTAATTAAACTAAACATTTAATTTTTCTTAAAAGTAATGATTTTATTTATAAAATAAACATTGCACAAATACTAAATACTTATATAATGTTGGTAGAGGTCTCCTATGGAGTCTCCTTATCACAAGAAATACATTTGGAGGTCGTGGATCAAAAAGAGGTTGTATAGGTACAACTGTAAACTGAGTTGGATCAAAATGAGTGCATATTTATTAATTATTATTTTAATTCTCTGAAATGACCGTTATCACTTATTTTTATCAATGCCAAAGAATGATTATATTAAATAAAAATTACCCACCATCAATCATATTTTGTTCTTTTACGAATTATTTAAATTATATTAATCAATATTGTAATTATAGTAGTACCTATCACAAAATAAATGTCTTTAGTGGCCAAGTCTTGTTGAACGTAAAATTATGGTTATAATAAATATATTCTACTAGTTGGAAAAATTTTAATTTCAACCTGATGTGTTGAAACGTTTTAAAATGTTTTAAATGTTACTTAAAGTAAAATATTATTTATTTGTAGCTTGATATAAACCTTGCCTCTTGGGGTTCAACTGGTGGGTGGATACCAAATTCAAACGCTTACATAACGAAAAAGGCTTGCAGTGCATTAAAAAATCTAGGAGGAAATTTATGGCTTAAGGTTACAAAAGATTTGAACATTCCAAATTCTAGCTGTCCAGTACCAGTGGTAATGTATAAACATAGTTTTTAATAACCACATATTGATGAAAATGTATTATATTATATTTTAAGAATTGAAAATAGTTGAAGTAGTAGGTAGGTTAGGTATATTAATAAAAATTCCTAACATATAATTAATCTAACACAATAATCATTATGTATACAAATCTGTGCACTTAAACATTTAAATTATTATATGTGTTATTTTATTACAGTTTATTGTTGAATGTTTACAGGGCACTTATACTACATCAGGGATTAACTTAAAGACATTTGAAGATCATAACTTTCCTAAAGTATATTTTTATGGAAAATATAAAATGGTGTTTAAGGTGAAAAATATAAAAGACGAAGTACTTGGCTGCAAGATTGTGGAGATTAATCTTATACGACCGTGGGAAAACCCATTTTGATTAAATAATACAAAATAATGATTTATGATATTTACTCATTTATGTTATTGTTAAACAATAAATGCAAAACTCAACACCAAACTCAATAAAATAAAAAAACAATATAAACCCATGGACAAATCTTGAACTCAGTAGAAAAGAAGAAACCATAATAAACCGTCTACGAATTGGACACACACAGCTATTTGATGACCAAAGACGATCCTCCACTATGCGACGCGTGCAATGTACTTTTAACGGTCAACCACATCATCACAGAATGTCAAAAATACAACAAGTATCGAAATCAATACCACATCTCAGAACAAATTTGTCAAGCACTAGGACCAAACTCTCAAGACGTTAAAAACTTAATTTTATTCTTAAAAAAAAACAGAATTGTACAATTTAATTTAATGTAACCATGTAAATGCTAAAATACTAACAATGTAATCTAAAATACGTGTACTAATGGCCTAGTTGTCGATGTATAGTTCAGATCAATAAAAAAAAAAAAAAAAAAATGCAGTATACTGTACTATATCTTTCCTTTAACGAATAATAAATATTATTACTCAGCTATAATACAAAATTTCAAACTAATATTGATATTATGATCAATTTTTGACCAAATGTCTGTGTTACGTAAATACTTGAAGTTTATATGGACTGAAGTGCAGGAAGAAGAATTTTATTTATATTTCTAGAGTTGCTCAAGGTGCATTATGGTAATGCAATGATGCAGTCATTTTCCGGCGTGACGCTCATATGACAGTGCTCACTCACGAGAACAAGGATAGGCCTAAGCACCGTTTTGCTACACGCCTACACTCAATGATTAAAAGAAACCCACTCATACTGCAGTTGTACAGTACGTGGTATGCCCCTGAACTCTGAAATCCCTTATCAACCTTAGTATCTCCATGGAAAACAAATATATTTAAATGCAGTTATTTTTACAGTAATAACTTATTATTCTTAGAAATTCAAAATAATAATTAGCTCTAACTTTTACGATTTTCAGTAAGTTTTAATATATACTTTTTTTTTGAACTGATTTAAAAAATACGATCATCAAAATGGCTATCTTGGAAATTTAAAAAATTTATTTGTCTAAAATAAATGTTTGTTAATTTTTGCATTTTTTAACAAAAAAAATCGAATATTATGCTATTAAATCAAATTTTTCACACTTATTACTGCAAAAAAAGTGCAATTAAATATATTGATTTTCCATGGAGATCTTAAGGGTGATACGGGACTTCTGGGACATATACTTTATTGTTCTAGTAAAAAAACTAGTGATTCATAGTCAACCATTTAAGCAAATTAAAGTTAGTATTGTAATTCCTAGAATGAGTAGTGAATAAACTAATACAGTTCTTAGCTATTAAGCTATAACGTTTCTTATTTTGTATTGCCAAGTGTTAGCGTACCTGATATATTTTAATAACCTAAATACTATTTGGCACAAGGTCTTGAATATCTCCAAGAATACGATTAAGAGGTGTTAAGTAGAGTCCTGATTCATGAATGGAACATGTTGACACTCTATCTCAAGCGCTTATTAAAACTAAGTTTCTACTTGAACTTATATAGTTCTACTTCAAGTAAGTATAATGTAGTTTTTATCGTATATATTTGAAAAGTTTAATTTTTTTATTTCAATCAAATATTCAAATAAGTAGATTACAATATTTCAACTTAAAAACATAGGAGAACTGAACCATGGTGGGATATCACACGCAGATGACTTTAAATATTGTTCTCTTTAAAAGTAGGTACATATATGTATACAAGGATAAGGTTTTCTCCAGCCCGATTATCTCAACACCCTTGTTGTACCTCGGATTAATTTTCAGGTGTGGCATCTTTTTAATCATAATTTTGTTTCATAATAATAATATAATGTAATAAGCCATTTGTTGTTGATTTAATAACTAACATAGCCTATCCATTTCCAGAACAATTTTAAATTATGTTTTTGATTTTCGATTAAATATAATTAAGTAACTAATTAGTAATTATATAAATATTTGTAACGAGAAATCGTTATTCGCTGTTTTGAACGTACAGCGCTCTCATTCGGTGTACACTACAATAATTTACGTTTACCGGCCGCTCTGGACACCAATTAGCAACAACAGAGCGCGCCTCTATCGACCGCACGATATCGATACCGCTGCGGACAGCAATGATTTACCTGATTAAATATTCAAAAAGCAACTACTGAAAATTAAAACATCATCAATCAATTCCGGAATTAATCAACAAACAATCGAATATCAAGAAATATGAATATACGAAAATGGAAGTACTAAAAGAGATGTCCCGCCAGAACAGTAGTCTGATACGACGCCGTTTCCCGACAATGTTATAAATCGATTTCGACCATTAGCAAATCGATCTCGTCCGCCATGATATAAAACCAAGATGAATATGACATCCCACAGAGGTCCAGCAGGCAGCAGTATCGAATTGTGTGTTATTGCATACTTGTCTTTGCAAATATAACCAAACAGTCTCGTGCCAACTGGCGACCACCACCGTTCTGTGCCCATCCTCCTTCACTGCTGCTTCTTATTAGTGTGTACGGAATACGGTTATCCGTATGGCTACAGCCCATTTGCGCCCCAGAGTAGCATATTTGCTCCCCGAGGGATGGGAACAGAAAGATAAGGTACTACCTGCCGATTTATAGCCCATATGCGCCTATTTCACATACAGTGTTGCAGTTGTGATTCATATAAAATGGATTATTTATATCTTAATAGATACCTTAGATTAAGTAGATTAGTAGATTATAGTACTTAAATAATAATTGCCTATTGTCTAAATAATACAGCTTAAAATAATTTTGTCAAAATACTTAGGTAATTTAATATTTAGTTAAATAATTTAAAAAAAAAAAGCACTTAATTAATTGACAGTTTCGCACTAATTTTTAATTACTGTAGTCAAAATATATCTCACATAAAATGGTATAAATAAAATAAAAATTTCAAATTACAAAAGACAATGTCGGCAAAATATAAAACAATATATGGTTAAGTATAGGTACATGCAATCATTATAAAAATTTTACAATAGTAATAAAGTAATACAATCTGGCAACGTTGCACGGCTTTAACGCATTTTTGTTAAAAATATTTCGGGCGCAAATGGGTTGCATCAGTATTAATGCCTATACACACTAACAATGCACCAATAGTGATCATTCGATCGTGCAGCAGTAAGCAAAAGATAATTTCCGGCGTTTTCATAATAAAATTGTTCTATACAATAAATAATTATATAAATACATCCGTCCGTTTTTGAGGTTACAACTCTACCATGGAATTCTCTCAAACATGTATCAATACATTTTCTAACTTATGAGTGTTTTCATTTTTAATGTTGACAACATTTACAACAATTTATCATCATTCTGATAAAATATCAACAAAAAAAATATGATTTTTAAAATGTTCGTAATTATTGGATATATCTGTTTGACTCAATCACAAAACCTTTTTATGCCAAACTTGCCTGTGGTAAATTAATAAACTGCATGATATCTTAAACATATTACATATTATTTTGAATTTTCTACGATTATCATTGATGTGCATGGTTTACCTATTGGTAACATTTCTTCATAAGTAGATTTAATTATTGTTCTTATTGCAGGGAGAATATCGTTTAAATATTGAAAAAGTATATCCTTGTGATTCGAGCAACTATACACTTCAGTTTAATTGTTTTTTGAGTAAAAAGACAGCAAATACATATGAAATAAAAGGCAATATAACATTGTTTAAACCATTAGATGATACTATGAAAGTAAGTGTTACATTATATTGAAAATGGTCGTGGTTCACCTTACCTTAATTATCGTTTTATTTATTTGTAGCTTGATATAAACTTTGCATCTTGGGGTACAACTGGTGGCTGGAAACCAAATTCAATAGTTTACATAACAAATAATGCATGTAGTAGTTTGAAAAGGGTCGTTGGAAATGCATTTTTATCTTTAGCTAAAGGTCATAACATACCAACTTCTAGCTGTCCATTACCAGCGGTAAGGTTTAAAAACAGCAAATTAATTAACTAGGTAGGTACGTCATTAAATATAATGTGATGACTTGAAGATCAGATCAATAATAAAACAAATACCTAAAGTTGTATTAAGCTTCCGTCAAACAATGTTATTAATCATTATAGTATAATAATTAAAAAATGTTAGGAAATCTCACTCTGTAAATGTTATGAATTAAAGGTTTCTTAACATATTTCTGAACAACGCAATAAACTATAATTCCATGTACAAATAAAAATAATTTGGTATCATTGTACCAATATTATGTTTATAATAATCGCTAGTATGAGTCAATATTCAATGCTAAAATTTTGATATTTTTTTTTAATAAATAGATTTTTATATCAATTTATTTAATGGATAGTAAAAATTTACTTTGAATGGAAGTATGAACGGAACTATGTACAATAAATGAATAACTATAATAGTCTACAGACTATTCATAAATAAGTTAAAACGAACAATTGTAAATATATGTAGGTACCTAATACAACTACTAAAATGCCTATGGATATTTAATATTTTTCAACTGCCTACTAAAACTACTAATGAGGAATCTTGTAAGACAGTTTAAAGCTTTTTGATCCAACGAATACCAATGTATTAACATTTATAGAATAAAAAACTAAAAAAAAAAAAAAATGAAAATGTTTATGTATGCCTCTCTCAAAAAAATGTAAAGTATATCCCTACCTAAACAATAAACATTGTAACTAATATATCTAGCCCCCCCCCCCCACTATATGTATAACCATATTTACTTCTATGCATAGGATAGAGTTGAACTTACTTTTTGTTACATAATAATTATGTTCTGTTTGCTATGTTATTTAGGGTAAAAGAAATCTCTTTATACTATACTTGGTAATATTAATAATTATAACTTTTATTAGGTATTATGAAACAATGGTATTATACATTTATACCAACCTAATATAAAATTTCTTTTGTTAAAAATAAAATATTAATATAATATAGCCCTATAAGTAAGTGATATCAAAAAATTTCATTTATGCTCATGGGTTTTGAGTGGAAACTAAAGACAGTCTCTTATTAACTATATTAAGTCCATAACATAACATTGATAGTATAAAAAACCGTGATTATAATTGTAAAATTATTGATATTGATATTATGAAGATCAGAAGATTGATTACCTACATTAAACAAATGATTATTTTCCACCAAACTACCAGATTAATTGGATAAAGATAAACATATAATATTATTTTTGAAAGAATCTAATTAATATTTTAATTTATATTTGTCTTTGATTAATTTTGAAGGTATACTTGCGTATCTCTAATCTCTAGTTGATTTTATAGGTGATCGTGGTAGGTCCTAGGGTAATATTTTTGAGGGAGTGATATAGATATTGATTTTATTGTTATTTGACTTAGTATTCAGCTTTCAAATAAAAAAAAATATGTTGTAAATTTAAATGATGTTTAAATGTAATAATAATAATAATAATAATAATCGTAATACTACCGTATTATGTAGTATGTACCTACTTTTGACGTTGATATTTTACAGGGCACATATATGACGTCAGGAATTGATTTGAAGGAAATGTTAGATCACAACTTTCCTAAAGTATATTTTTATGGGAAATATAAACTGGTGCTTAAGATCAAAAATGAAAATAAAGTACTTGGCTGTGGAGTATTCGAGATATCTCTAACACGGCCGTGGGAAAAGCCAATTTAATTTAACAATACTTTTTACAAAGATATTATATTTTATTGACTTTTGTGAATCCGAAAATAATCATTATCCCTAATTTGGGCTTTCTAACAATTTGGATACTAATCATACAAAATATACAACTTGAAGTTTATATGTTAGAATAAAGATTAAATAAAGTTATTTTTATTGGTAATTATTCATTTTTATTTTTTTAAACTTGATTTGTTATTGTATATCATGCAGGCCACCACACCGGAATTTATCGTATCCGTCATAAAAATGTGTTACATTTCAAGATTATAGTCGGTACCAATAGGAATAAAAGAAAGTTCTGGAACCTGATCCCTCTGATCCCCTGATTGCTGATCCCTATACACCCTTGCTGATCCTTATACAATGATTGATCATTCCACCATATATCACATATGTTCACGATATACCTCCACCAACCCGCTCATCCATAAACCCCTTGCTGATCCTTGTACGTAGACGGCTGCTGATCAGGACATCTATCACATACGTATACGACATACAAGATATGCAGGTAAGTAATTAACGTAGTGAGCGTACCCCAACCCCAGATGAGCCTAACCTACTGTTAGAATGTCGGGAATGTATTATTCGCGTCTTACTTAGCAATGTTGGGATGGTACCCGATACGAGCGCTCGTATTCTTCGTGCCTACTCTAATAGGTGGCGATGATAGAATATGAGAGATCGGGGAGCGAAAAACAAAGTAGGCACGATAGGTGGGTCATACATTTTGGTAGCTCTGAAAGAGCCGCTTCTCACATTTTGTTTGATTCTGCTTTACATTTTCGATGTTCTTGCCAATGGTTATCCTCCAATGTAATCCTGAGGCTCGTTGATAAGGATCGACTAATATAATTATATTATACAATCATCTAACCTATCAATATTCAAGATACCTAATATATTATTTTGTAAATGCTTTGAATTTGTCCACTGCCATAATACTTTTTCTCTTCGATCTCCATGAGCACAACAGACCCTCGTCCATCATGGGGTGGCATCACCCCAGACGTCGTGACGTGCAGGTAAATAGTAAATACTATTTATTTTTGACAACATGGGACAAACAATGTTAATTGTAGACGACGTAACCCTCTGAAAATACTCGAAATAATACATTTAGTTTGAATATTTTTAAATTTCGGAACTTTCAAAAGTTGATCATTCGGAATTTATTCGGAATTTAAATCAAAAATCTTAAAATGTAGACCGACCGATCTCAAATAGACATTCTAACGAATTCAGATCAGTTTTCTGAAATATTATCGTATTATTAGATCGATCGATAGGGTGGAACAAAAAAAAAAGGTGGGCAGTAAGTTGTAGTATTTATTGATTATAAATATCTTGCGTATATTGATAGTATAAATATTATTAATAATCATCACTACACTACGTAGTACGTACCTACATTATGCATTTATAATTATTTTAATTAATAAAATATATATGTAATATATATCACACCAAAAACACTTCGTTATAACTCCTTGTAAAAAAAAGCTAAGTTAAAAAAAAATGTTTTTATGATTAAATCTTTAAAAGACGTGATATAATATGGAAATTAAGTAAAATTACATTTTATAATATTACAAATAACTATGATGACAAATAAGATCAATTGTGTAATGTTAAATACTTGGTCAACATATTGTTGATACATTATTAATTACTGTAAATACTGCAGTGATTACTAAGTTATATTTATTTAAATATACTTCTAAGCCCTGCCAAATAGTTAAACATAATATGTTGACTAAG